AAGATCGTGACGGTGAAGTGCGACAACACTTGAAAAAATGATTTTTTTTGCCAACACGAAACGGTTCATAGGGTTTGTAGAACAGCATAAGTGCGATTTAATTCCATTATGTCGTATTTCCATTTATATTCTCTATAAAATGAATTATTTAGCCTCATTTGAGGGGTTCGTAAACGTTATCATACAAATCTACGTATCCCTTAAGCGAAGTTGCTGCCATAGAATTTGCAGCTACCCCTATTGACAATTAATGCAAGAATTTGGACAAGTTATATTTTTTCCATGTCCCCCTGAAACATGTTGAATGCCGGGTTTCACTGTAATTTAATTTGTTTATTCGCTTTTTTTGTTTATCGCTGTTGAAGGTGGTCGAGGACTTTGCCGACATCACAACGCCACTCAAGCACTTCACGGACGCCGTGCACGCCCCTCTGGAGATGGCCAACCGGGATTTGAACTTCAGCAACAAGGCCCACAACCTTCAGGACCACTCGTTGCGCTGTGCTGAAACCGGCCGCATGGTCGGCACCGCCGGCACCTGCAAGAACAAAAAGGCGGTCGAAGCTCTTTGCAGCGCCGCCAACCAGGTAGGTGGTCTTCGATGTCGATTCAGATGCAGTGCACCCATCCTCGTCGGATGATCGTTGCGTTGTTGTTACTTTGCCAGAGCATCAATCGTTTTGTTAGTACCATCTAGTGAATTAGGTGAAGGGGAACGAGTGTGCCTGTTCTTTGAACGCACACCAGCAGAAAGCATCATAGGACCTAAAGACATGTGCTAGCCGGTGCTGCTGATGATGGTTTTATTTTATCTCATGTCACCTCTCAGAGTTTATACGTGAAGGTTCACCATCCTGCTGCTTCTCGCTACCTCGTGGGAGAGGGCGGGGCATTTAAGCAGCTATATTTTTACTGAATGTGAGAACCTGTAGTGTACGGATGCGGAACCTCGACACAGATGCTTTGTGAATAGCAACGAGCATGCCTTTGTTCCTATTCTTACAGAAGGTTTTGTACTGTAGAAACCTCTGATCTTGGTGAAACGTCATAAAGGCATACGCGAAAGCCAAGCTTGAATGTGACCATTGATTGAATGAGTCTGTTCGACAACGATTGTGATTAAAAGAAAAGCGTCAAGAACAGCTCCTTTGGTAGAATATCGGACTCGCGGTACAAATGAGGCAGAGGTCATTCGCCTTTTGTCCTTACGAAGAAGAAAAACGAGTACGCTGTTTATGAAAGAAGCAAGAATGTATGCTACGTAGAGGTACTTAGATGTAGATGTTACCTTTTGAGAAATGGCACTCTTGACTAACGGCCGTAAGCTCTGTCAAAGTGAGGTGCTGCAACTACTTGTCTTTACTTCCGGAGTATCCAATCGGTGATAACTTCCCCATTGTGCAGTTTTGACAAATCAGGTGATTCGGTAGGAGAGTGTGCTCTTAGCACTCTCATGCAAGGATTTATGAACTGCATGCTTAGCGTCGTTTGTTGCACCGGCCAGAAATTTGGAAAGTGCACGAAAGTTAAACCTCGTCACATTCATCTCTTATTTGTTTCTCATCTAAACCTAAGAACCCACCACAGCTTAATCATCAGACTTGTTTAATTGTTTCGACTATTTATTTTTCTGCATCGCTTGCAGCCTGCTTCTAATCTGCGTATGCCGTAGGTCGCCAATATGACCCCGCAGGTGATTAATGCTGGCAAGATTCGCTTCCACTATCCAGACAACCAATCTGCGGATGAGCATTTCGAGAATTTGCGCCGTGAATTCGCCGATGCCTTGCAACGGCTAAGAGTTTTGGTCGACGACGCCGTGGACAGAGGCGATTTCATTAAAGCTTCCGGTAATAATTAGCTAATTGTATTAGTGTAATACTTTTGTTTAATGCAGACGTGTATATTTTGCCGTATATGTGTAGCGTAGGCATATCTTTTTCGCTAATCTAACGGGTCAGTTTCATTATACTCGCTATAGAACGAATGGACCAAAATGTTTTTTACACCGTAATTTCTACAACTTGAACAGAATTGTCAAAGACGGCATTTTCCCATGAATATATAAAAGCAACATAACCGAGTGTACCACGATATGCCCGGTAGTTCCGCTAACCTCGTTTCCAACAGTTTGCGTACACTGTTTTCAGGAGGCTCAATACGGTATCCTCGAGGTAAGCTGAGCATTCCCTAGATCTCTTCTTGAACATGGGTATTACTGCCTCTCTGCAGTTTTAGATTCCACATGTGAGTTTTCCGTAGTCATTGCAGCTCCACACGTGTTAACTAACCATGTTAACCACACAACAACACCTTGTTGATTAGCTTCCACCCCCTGAAGTTCAGAATTACGGAGTCCTGGCGATTCGTCGACAGCAGCATCCGGTTTGCATTTTGTGGCCTCATCATCTAGCATCTTTTCCTCTGAATGATATGTCCGGTTTTTGATTGAAAGCTATGAATGTCAGTATTGATCCTGTAGAATCTTATCCGACGTTCGTAATGACCTCATCCGTTGAAACCGTGTCTGACTGGTGCTTTGTTAATCGTCAACGAATTTTTGGTACCCATCCCCGGACTGCTAACCCCTGCCAAACTGCCTGAAGGTGTAAAGCAGGTTTCGATCGCTAGATTTTCGTCTGTCTCAATTTTCCAGCAG